ATCGATTAGAATAAGACTTATTCATACACATAGACTCATCCTTTATTTCCCTATAATAATTATTCTCAATTTTACAGCTTGCACAACAGAGCGTGCGAGTGCCTTTAGACTACTCCGTACTTTCCCACGCTTTTGTTAATGAACGAAATTTGCCAATACGTACTAGTACCATAGCTAGGAGAAGAGAAATTCACAAAGAATTGCAGTAAATATAAGCAAAAAAACAGAAGCAAAAATGATAAAGCATCAAGCAATGAGATCTTAAATACATCTTTTTAGAAACGGACTAGCTTTTTTAACATCGGCATTATATGGGTTGCGGAATTTGCTGCACGTGCACTTGGCAATGAAGTGTGTACCTCTGTCACGCAACGCGTCATGCCCATATTGTTTATTTTGGTTGAAGAAAAAAAAACACTTAAAAACCTGTCAAACATTCACCAAGTTTTATTTTAAAAGAGCTAGTTTGTAAGATAAGCGGCTGTACGCTGTGTAATTGATTGCAGACATGTAAGTGATATTTTTGAGGGTCTGTCCCTACCCCACCACCCCAGCTCGCACTCCCCCCTCCCAAGAGGGATATTTAACCTGAGATAAAGGATGATACATTTTGAATTATTTTCTTTGCAACACTTTTTGCCTTAAAGGAGTGTTGCTCGTAAAATTGCACACAAAATTATTTTTGCCACAGTTTTTTTTAGGTAAACAAGAAAAGGCAATTACGTTTACTAATAGCGGGATCAGTAATTTCTTGTAACGAAACAGTTTTGATAGGAGTAGAGCTGAATTTGCCATTTTGGAAGGTGTCTCTCGCCTTTTTCCCTTGCCCAAGCCACCTTCCGCGTCTCGTATTCCATGGGTCGTGCACCAAAACCCAAGCCGGATATTTCTCGCGCGCTTCCCATAAAGCGTTTGCAAAGCAGGCTATGAAAACTATTTGGAATGTTGAAATTGCACCTTCAAGCAATTAAGTTGCTCGTGGCTTTTCCTTTTTTATACTGTAAATTACTTATTTCACCATTATTTTCAGATTGTTCCTGAAACTCTGTACCTTGAGGATGACTTTACCAGAATTGCTAGATTCCCTTGTGACATCACAGGAGCATTTGACGCTACATTTTGGCAAGACAAGCTTACACTCCAAGTTATGGGAGAAAGCTCTAATGTGCCCGGTCTTTGCAATGAAGTCCTGATTCCTTCACCGCAGCAGTTTGGCATCGGGCGTTCCACAGCAACCGCAACACAGGTTAAAGCTCACACTAGTGTCAGCAGCAAGTTGTCTTCATTTCAGGGAAAAGGAAAAAACAAGGCATCACCGAGCTTTAAAAGAGTGGTCTTCTTAGCGCATTTTGAAGATAAAGAAATTGTGAAGACCCACACAGCTCATTTGAGGTTAGCTCCGGAAGAATGCAACGTCAACGACGTAGCAAAGTTAGTGAAATAATATCTGAATATGGACGAGGATTTAGTGATCATGGACGTCCATGGCTTTGAAATAATGGACAGTGAGTCGACAAGGGGTAAGCTTTTTTAACAGATAAGCCACTAGACGAGCTGTTTGCTGATTGGGACGCATAGAGATATGTATGTGGTTTCAGTTAATGACCTGATAACAGCCACTTATATATCTAATTAGCACACTATTGAAATTTATATTTTGGCTTTAACGTTTTTCTTTATTTAACTTCCCCCTGGATGTCCACACAGCCACCATCAGCCAAATGTGTTCCCATACAGTGTCACTAACTCACAAGATCTGATAAGCACTTCTACTCTTTTAGTTGCTTTACATTAATTTTCAGTGCACGTTAAATTTGGCTTATATATTTAGGTAGCGACTTGCTGTAAAGTTTTTCTAATGTATATACATGTCTGCTCACAATTATATATTAAGAATTGAAGGATAATTTATCTGCTGATCACTTCTGGCAGTTAAAGGGTTTAAGTCACAAGGTTTCGATCAGCTAATGAGATGCCAGATTAATTTTTTTGACTGACACACGATACCAAAGAGGCGTAACAAAGTGCTGTAAAAGTGAAACTACTGTATAGGACAATTAGAAAAGTAAAAATGCTCATATCAATCGTTTCAAAGTGTATTTTTTTTCCTCTTTTTCAAGGCGAGGATTTCTGGAATGTTCCAGCAAAAAAAATCTACGCCATTACCTTTTCTGATTACCAAAAGAAAAAAAACAAGGGGATAGGAGCAGAGGGAAAAACAAAAGATATAAACCAGAGAGAGAGCCTTTGGATTTGGACGTGCTGGACGAAATATCAGAGAAATTGGATGACCTAGCTAAAGTGTGTCAAAGTAACAGCATACTGTCCACTAGCATTAAAGAAAATTTTAAGTGCTGTATCTGTTTTAAGATGGCACGCCCTATCACAGTCGCTGGCTGCTGTCAGCGACTGCTTGGTTGCACACCTTGTGTAGAGAGATGGTATGGGCAGGATGGGCGTTGCCCAGTATGCAAAAGTGATGATGGAAGAGAAAAGTATTTCTCTCTAAAAGGAGTTGAAGACTTCGCTGTTATCATCTCAAAGCTCGATGAGTCCATTTAATGAGCAAGACACCCTTCATTGGAAGAAGATATTTCATCATAGACATTTTTAGTTCAAATTTTAGACGTAACTACCTCCTATTTCACTTGATGTGGTTGAAATTCCTGCCTTAGTATAATTATTGTACATGTACAGAGCAATACCCATGTGTAACCAGTAGTCTGCAGTGTTCCACTTCTACGTGGTTGTCTCAGAAAGATTGTAGTCAGACATAGGTCAATAGTTCATTTTTACTTAATGATATAAGGACATAAAGATAATGATCAAAGGTTCCTTTTTAATAACTAATTCTGAAGTGGAATAAACTTTTGTTGTTGATGATGTTTTTGACGTCGATTTCCTCAAATTATTAACTAGAAGATATGCCACTCTTTAAATTTGAACGGTGAAAAAAAAACTTTTTTCAACACTTAAGTCAAAGATTTTCAGTTTATAATTTATAGATCACGTTTATATCGATTATTTGGACCTCTATTCAATTCTTTATTCCAACGAACTTTTCAAAAGTATTGAAGAAACGATCTATAACTTCAAGCGCGAGCGAGATAATCTGTGAGCCTCAAAAAGTACAGTACAGCATCTTGGAAAGGGTTATAGTTCGTATTGGCAATTTCATTAAACAATACTTTGAAACTCGGAAAGTATTTTGTGAACTCTCTTTCTCTGGCATCTGCTTTTGAAATATTGGCCGCCAAAGGATCCCTTCCAAAGAAGTGTTCTTGAGTCAAATCGCCGCGAAACATCTGCAAAGCTGCTTCGACTGTTGGCACTACATTGCCGTCAACTGGAGCGGCCTTGTTGTTAGTACATCGTCGTTGTAGTGGAACACCTTTACCTGCACAATTTTAAAGTAAGTTGGTGTCAGTTAAAGATCTGAGCGACTATTCTTCTGGACTAAACTGTCGACATACTTAGATATTAGCTATCCGCTTATAAGGGAAGTCTCTGCGGTTAGAGATCTGTAGACAATCGCATTCACGTTTCTATTCTACTTTTTGATGTAGTATGACTAATCCGGAAGGGTTATCCTTATTTCATTTCAGGGAGAATTCCCCACGCGGGTTATAAAAATGTCCCGTGTATCAATGGGTTATCGCTTGCCAACTCACTTGCCAAGCGAACTAAATAGTCGAACGACTTACAGCAATAGCTGAGCCGTACGCAAACGTGCGTTTCATCCAATGGCACATTATGATTTTAGTCTGTTTTTAATATTGCTATTTTTTTTATTGCTATAGATTTTTTTTACAGTAGGACTCCTTACCTGGAATGGGGTGTGAATTCCATGAGTTGACCACGTAGCTCAGTCCTACTTCCACTACTTTCTTCGCCACCCAAGAGACACAGAACTTTGTTACTTCATCCTCCATATCTATGACACCATTGTTTTCCATTTGAACGAGTGCTCTCTTTATAGGATAGTTTGTGCGACAGTTAACCTCTACCCAGAGCCGTTCCACAGCATGGTTCTTTTATTAAGAATTATAATAGTAAAAGAAATACTTATCAATACTAGACTCGCCAAAGACTCCTGGGGGCCTGAGCACGAGGGTCAGGAGTCTCGAAAAGAAAACTTGTGTTTTTCTGGCACCAATCAGAAGCCAGAACGGCGGCGACCGTTTGGAACCGGTCTGGTAAGAAATTGTCCCCAGGGGCTCTTCTCGCAGTTCTTTACTTTTGTTCGTTCCATATATATTTTTCCGCCCCATTTAGACTTTCCCTCTCCCCCTTTATCTGCCCCTGGGTCTCCGAGGATGGGAAGTACTAGATTTTAGGGCTTTCCGGGTCATTTCTGATTTTCTACAACGTTTCTGATAGCGTTCGCTTGCTCTTTCCGAAGTGTCAAAGCCTGTTAATTTAGGTGATTCAAAGCTATTAAAAGAGAATCCTCCAACTTACTTTTGAATCGGAAATAACCGGAATTCCTAAAATCTAGGACTTCAAATCCTGTGTTCCAGGTCCTCCTAGGCAAGAATGTGTCACGGAGGGCTTGCAGCCTAAAGTTATTGTTGACGACGGGCTAGCATTGAAAACGTCAGGTTTCCAACCTGCTCTTAAGGAGTTTTATTTTCTTTAACACCTTGTTTAGAAAACCTGCGAAAATTGGGTTTTTCAGGTCCACGCCCACGGATCACGTTAGAAAATAACCGGCTCATTTCTCCTCCCCTTTATATTACCACGTACCTGCTTTGACTGTGTTTGTATGTACGGCTGTCTAGATGTATTATTCCGTAACTCCTTTAAGTGATCCTGAACCGTCAGTATTAAATAAAATTCCCTCCCATGGTCCACTCTCCCTTGGTCAAACAAACCATGACGTAGTATGGTTTCCCTAATAATAGAACAAGTGGATGAAGTATCATTAAATTGTACCTTTTAATTCAAGTGAGAAGTTTTGAGGGTTTTTCTAACCTGCAAAATGTGCAAATAATATATATTTATGTCGGAGCTAACCTGAACACATCCCTGTAGATGGTGATATTATTTTTCAATGGCATTACCGATGTAGCAGTTATAAAGGAACTATAGCCATCTACTGCTATAACCTCTGTCACGCCATAACGAATAAGCTTTTCGTTTTGATCAAGATGGAGCTTGTGTCCAAAGTATTCGGCATAGTATGGAACAGGGTTTAAGTGGCGGGTAATCGATGTCTGTCGTTCATGGTGCTGGCGTGGATTACCGCGTTTAAGTGCCTGCCCCACTCTGTTTACTCCCAGTCGCAAGCCTGTCGAATGCTTGATGTGGCCAGTCATCATCTTTCTTCCGTATGTAGCACCAGCCTTTACGATTAAAAACCTTTGTTTAAGTATAAAAAAGTATATTGAATCGGCCAGGCCATTTAGTCAATAAACCACTTGGCGTTTGTTGCGTGACATTGACACAAAGAGAGACCAATACAGCCTTAACCGCTCTCGCCATTTTCAAGCAAAACGGAAATACGAGCTACCAATAAGTTAGCACAATCAAGAATCAAAGCTTACATTTCCCTTGCGAAAATGTATCCATGGTTGCAAGCCAATGCTTGGTCAAATAGGAGGGCAACAAAAAAATCAAACAGCAAAGAAAACATTCCTTCACAAATAAGAAAGTCTTTAGTCAAGATTTAAATGTAACGTTATTTTTGGTGTTCTAATAACGTATTTCCTCAAATAATAACCGTCCCATGATTAATCGCCTCCCTCGAATAATCGCCCCCTTTTTGTGTGAGAAAAAGAAATAATCGGCCTCGGCTATTATTCGAGGAAATACGGTATGCTAGGGCAGGGAGTTCCAGAATTGAGAGTAAGAAAGTAACGCATTCCTTGTTCATTTAGCGACGAGCGTTGTGTGACGCCTCAAGTGACGCTACACAGGTGAACAAAACGACAAGTTCACAACTTGTAGCAAACCTTAAAACGTTTACTACAAGGAAGGATATCGTATAGCTTACGAATCCAAAACTAAAAATGTTAAAAACATACACCCTCACCTCAGCAGCTGCAGAAGCCACCACCTCATCGACAGCTCCACGAGTTAAATGCGAATCATGACGTCGTATCCCATTCGTAGCACAGTACCGGCGGACACTTCTCTCGGATAGTCCTTGCACTCCAGGATGCTCTTGCCTTAAAATGTCACTTACTTCTCTATGTGTTTTTTCCTGCTCTTCAACAAGCTCTCTTACATAACGAACAGTTACAACCTGTTCAATGCCCGCCATCTTTTGAAGGTCCCGCCAAGAATGTAACGTATTCCCAGGCCCTTTGTCCCGACGCCAGGAAAATGTTTTGTCGAAACATTTGCTTCATAAATGTTTTTTGTAAAATTACATCAAAAGTTGTCTTGTTATTTGCTGGCGATTGCAAAACAATTGTGAAAATAATATATATAAGACTTAAAGGACTGCTGTTAAAATTGTCGCTTTAAACAGTGCCCAATAGAAAAATATATTTTTAAATAGATTTCATTTTTTGGGTATATTTAAGTTCAAAAAAATAATAAACGATAAAATATTTATCAACTTTTGCCAATTTTTCATTTTTCAATTTTTTATGTGGAAATAGAATAATGGAAAATTGGACGATGTCTATGCCATTTTTCTATTTTTCCATTTTTTGAGCAAAATGGAAAAAATGAAAAAATGGTGCAAATAGATATCATTTTTTCATTTTTCTGTTTTTCTATTTTTTGGGAAAAACGGAAAAATAGAAAAATGAGTTAGGAATCAGAGATTATTTCATTTTTCTCATTTTCTAACAATAGCAAGAAAATAAAAAATAGCAAAATATCGCTTTTAGCCGTTTATAGTATTTTTTGTATGTTTGAAGCGGACTTCAAAATTAGAAACATGAAAAAATGATCAATTTTCCTGACCATTTTCTTTTTTTCTATTTTTGTCTGTGCTTTAAAATATGTAAATATGATAAGGATAAGTGATATTTCCTTTTTCCGTTTTTGTTGGAAAAATAAAAAATTAGATTGGCCGAAGTGTGCACGGACCGTACCCCTGAGTGTACACGTTCATGTCTCTTGCAATCTGACAACCAATAAAACCATTTATCACAGTACTTACACTGATGTGGTTTAAGTCTTGTGTGCGTTCTTTCATGCCACCTGCACGTTGATGACCGGAGGAAGCTTTTATTACAATACTTGCACGTGTTACGTTTAACACCTGTATGAGTAAGTTCGTGTTCTTTTTACTGTAATACCTCAGTGAAGCACTTGTCACAAAAGTTGCACTGATAAGGCTTCAATCCGGAGTGTGTAAGTTCATGTTCCTTACAATGTGTGGAGCGGCTCAAGCTTTTATCACAATACTTGCACTTATAGGGTTTTACTGCCTCGTGGGTACGTTCATGTTGTTTACAATTTGATGAGCGGGTGAAGCATTTGTCACAATACTTGCACTTATGAGGTTTTATCCCTGTGTGAGTAAGTTCATGTTCCTTGCAGCATGAGGCATTATTGAAACACTTCTCACAGTACTTGCACTTATAAGGTTTTACTGCGTTATGTGTAATTTCATGTTGCTTGCAATTTGACAAGCGGATGAAGCACTTGTCACAAATCTTGCACTTATAAGGTTTCTCTCCTGTGTGGGTAAGTTCATGATCTCTGCAGTGTGTAGACTGTTTAAAGCACTTATCACAATACTTGCACTTATAAGGTCTCATCTCAACGCTGAAATAGCTTTGCCTCCTCACTGTTTGTTCTTATCTCCCCTTTGTTTCTTCTTGTTTTAAGACTCCTTTACGACTTGTCTAATATGTTACCATAACTGATGTCAGAAGGAATTTATATTCTCTTGGCAATTTGGATCCCTACAAACAAGAATAGTTGAGATTTCATTTTATAGGAAAAGCACAATAGTTAACAGACCCTGAGAATAAAACCAGGACAACGGTTTAGAATACTGTATTGTGAAAAGCAAGACCTGAAAAGAAAGTACAGTGGAAACATATACTTAAAACAACAGACAGGAGATCAGAAAGTTAAACTATAATAAGTAGTTGCAAACTCCAGGCAAACATGTTTGTTTTAGTTCGCTTACCCTTAAGCCATGGATTCTTAGCTTATTCGCCACTTTAGAAACGAGAAACAGCTGAAATGGGTAGCCAGCTATATTGGCCAATTTTCCACCTGTTTTTGGTAACAGTACCAGACGTCTTAACGAAATAACTCTTCCCAGTTTCTATCTCATTTCTAAAGTGGTAAATAGTTGGCCACGTGAAGCAGAAGAAGTTGCCACTATAATTCACGATGAATGCAGTGATCAATCTCAGTTCAGGAGGACTGCCCCCTTCCAGCTTCAGAAGATTTGGAAAACATCATTTTGTGTAGAATAGTTAGCAGCAGGGGTAAGGATAAGTAAAATTGTGGCAATTTGTTGGTGTGTCCAGAAACTTTGTCTTTTTTTAATAAAGTAATAATAGGGTTGGGTTGTTCTTCTGCTGAAGAACAAAAAATAAAGTTTAATACTGAAGTCAGACCCATTTCTATTGAACATCATAACTTATTTGTAGTTAAATGTTCTGGTAAATGAAGCTGTTAAATAAAAAATAATTGGGTTGAAATTTAAGGAAAATCCAAATTGCTGAATGAAAAATTAAATTTTGAAATCAAAGATACCTTGTTGAATATTAAATGGTACAGTTGTTAGATACAAATACAGTGAAACTTCCCATAAGCAACCACCCAAAATACAAAGATTTAGTGATTGCTTACAGGAGGTGTTTGATTATGGGAATAGACAAACAGGACGTCTCTTCCAAGACGAGGTCCTGACACATTTACCTTGTGGAATATAATTTAAGCTTATTGCCTGCAATTTCTAAGTTACCTATATGTATAATTGTAGTTCCAAATACTAATGTCAATGACAGTTCTTCGTATACGCTAAGCGACGTAGTACATCAGCGATCAGAGACCACATCATGCATCAATTAGTCGCTTATAAGAAGTTAAAAACTTAGAAAAAATAATACAACTGTCAGGCTAAAAAGTGGTTGCAGTCGCTCAAGCATGGTTGCTGTACAGTACCGCAAACGATCCCCAACCGCAAATGATCCCGAGACCGCAAATGATCCCCAAAATGGACCGCAAATGATCCTCGACCGCAAGTGATCCCCAAAGTCGACCGCAAATGATCCCGAAAGAAAAATAGGAATGACTTGGACTTAAGTTAGTGGATCATCGTATCGATTTTATTATTATTACAAAACGTCAGATTAAAAGCTAAATTTTACTTCTCAAATAAATCTTTAAATAAAGACTAAATGAAAAAAAAATCAATCAAGTGTAAAAACGAAGTCGGTAGGCAACACACGACTTTTACCTCATGCTAAGAAGCTGCTTGTTCCAATGAGTTTTTTCCCTCTGGCGGGTACATTATACCTCTGAAGAAAACGTTTTGACTGAGCAAATGTGATTTTTGACGCTTATTTCATACGAGAGGTCATGACACGCATTTTCTGCGGTTATTGTTGTTTCTAGTCGGCATGATTTGCCCTTTGTTGCAAGAGCACTGCATTTCCTTTGACTTCTTTTGAAATGCAGTGCTCTTCATTGCCGTTAAATAAGGGTTTTAGGTTGTTCAATTTTTTCCAAACAGCCTCCTGGATCCGAATAATTATAAGCGGTTTTCTTTCTTGTACGTGAATGTGACGGTTTCCTACGATGTTTCGGTCACGCGATAACTACCGCTTACCTCGCTTTTGCGTTTCTCATTACCAGGTTTAGATTCCTGGTAACTGTCTCCTGCAAAGGCACAACAAAAGAATATACATAAAAGCGTCAATATAACTATTCGCAACATGTTCATGAGCTGTAAGAAAGTTGCTATTTGGAAATAAACCGAAACCTGTGGACATTGATAAGTTCGGGGGCATTTTGACTTGTGTTTATGTTAAACCATGTCTCGTTTCGTAACGGCCACCTAAGTTACGAACAAATGCCTTTCTGTTTATCACGTAAAATTAACACTTCAGAGAAAAATCAAAATTAAATATTCTGAAAATTAATTTCACACTTTCAAAAAGATCAGTAAAGTCAATAAAGCTCTTGTTATGTAGAAGGTGCCCGGCTTTGCATTCCTCAGCTTCTAAGCGTTAAAATAATAGTCTTTTCTGTGTAATGTCCTGCCTGTCTTAAATATTTCAGCTACAAAACATTCTTGACAAAGGAAGAAGTATACGGTTAATACCATATCCTTTTCAGATTTATTCCATTTTTTTTTTCGCCTTGTATAAATTGACCTGAGATGTAGCGTCCTCCTTCCCTTTTTCTTTAAAAGGCGAGAGAAAAAGGTTTCTTTTTTATAATCAGTCCTTTTTTTGTAATCAGTCCCATAAAATCCATTCCATTCCATTCCTCAAGTTTTCATGGGATCATTTGCGGTCGACTTTAAGGATCACTTTCGGTCGAGGATCATTTGCGGTCCTTTTTGGGGATCATTTGCGGTACTGTACATTGCTAAAGCCAGAGGTTTCTGAAATTCCATGACTTTTCCCTGACCTTTTCCTGACAATTGTAAAAATTCCCTGACCAACTGAATTAACAATTTCACAAATACAGTGAAACCTCTATTACGCGGACACCTTCGTCACCTCCCCAAGTGCTGCTTAATACAGGGTGTCCGCTCAATAGAGGTTCGCAAAAATTGCGCAATCTTTGTTAGCGATTAATATTGAACGGTTACTATGTACTATGGTAAAGTTCCATGTTGTTAAGAAAGCTAAGGAAGCTGCACTGTACTTTGTGTAAGACTTTGATCACGGATGACAATCATACTGCCGGATATAGGTCTAATCTACAGTTTATTGACAGCTAAATGTTTTGATTTACCTTCATTAATCGACTACAGTACGTATTTCAAGGACGTAATCCCATACTACTATTCTCAATTCAGGTGGGAGTCCGCTTAATAGAGGTTTGTAACAGTAGAAATTAGCCAAATACAATTTGTTTTAGTGTCCGCGTCCGCTGAATAGGAGTTCGTTATAAAGGGAAATATAAGACGTTAATTTCGGGACCCGGCTTGGTGGTTTCACTGTAATATTATTAATTCTGATAATAGATTCAACCCTCAACTCACTCCATCCCCTTCACTAATTGATCTATGCTTTCGGTATCTACTTCAGCAAGTCACGTGCAGTGTACATGAATTAATAATTCTTTAACATAACGTCCAAAAGGACTGATTTTCTTTAAAACCCAACA